TACATACATACATACATACATACATACATACATACATACATACATATATGAATTTGTACATACATTACATACATACATACATTTTCTTTACACGCTTCTCCTTCCCATTTTACACGGAGTTGGTGCCTATCGCCATCAGTGTTGCAAGAGACAGGGGACACCCTTGACAGGTCGCATGTCCATCATAAGGAGACACATGTAGAGTCAAACAAGACAAACAACCATTCACTCTCTCTCTCTCACCTAGGGACAATTTAGAGTTACCAATCAGTCCAACATGCATGTTTTTGGTCTGTGGCAGTAAACTGGAGTACCTGGAGAAAACCCTCTCATGCAGGGAGAGAACATGCAAACTCCACCCAGAAAGGTGCCAGGCCAGGAGGCAACCCTGCAAACTTCTAGCTAAAAGGTTACAGCTCTAACCCCTGCTGAGCTATAGTGTGTTTTTCTATTCTAGAAACAAACACTTTGGAAAGAATATCTTGAAACTGAAGACCCAACTTTTGGTCACTGAAACACAGCCAGTTGTAATTAATAAAGGAAAAAAGTGTTTTATTTTCAATAAATCTAAATGCACAACAATTGTTTAAACTGACCAGAGATAAATCAAACTTTTTTGGTTTTTGAACTGAGGGTTGTGACTTCAGAATGTAGAACACTTTGCACTAAGGCAGCTTTCAAAATTAAAAATTTCAAGATAAATGTAAAAAATATAAACGTTAATTTCAGTTTTTAAAGCTGACTTTCTTATTTGTTCTGACTGTGAGACCTTTATTTTCATTATCATTTTTTGTTACATATTAAGGGTAGATATGTAAAAGCCTATTTAGACATTTTAAAAGGGGTTAAGTAATAGTAAACTGACAGATTGAGACTGAGATGGGGGTTCACTTTCTTACCTCTCCCAAGAACTCGCTCTCCTCCTCCCTGACCCTGGCTTGGTCCCACAATGTGATCTCCAGCATGCGCTCTCGAAACTCCCTCCGGTGCACCGGTGAATACATGAAGGTCTGATTCCATTTGGGCTCCAAGGATTTCTTTACTGTTTTTGTTCTCCTCTTGCTTTTGTCACTGGAGGAACAATGATTCAAGCTGTTTATATTTACAACCTAGATAATGAGAGGGCATGAATACAAGAAATCTATAACACCACACAGACACATCATGCTAATTATGAGTAGAGGAAGAGGAAGCTTTTGTGCTAACTATTCAAACCTAACCTTCTTTAATGACTCATGGGTACACAAAGATTACTTACCTAACTACAAATTACATAACTGAGAACATACAGCCAACACTAAAAGAACATATCCACATATATACAGTAGGTGCATGACCATAGAATAAGAGCAAAATTCATCCATCCATCTATCCACCCTTCATCCATCCACCCACCCACCTATCATCCATCCATCTATCCATCAATCCATCTCCCCACTCACACACCCATCCATCATCCAGCCATCCACCCATTCATCTGTCCATCCATCCATGCACCCACCCATCATCCACCCCTCCATCTATCCACCCACCCTTTATCCATCCATCCATCCATCCATCTCCCCACTCACCCTTTATCCATCCATCCATTCATCTACCCATCCATCATCCATCAATCCATTCATCCACTCATCCATCAATCCATTCATCCATCCATCCATCCACCCATCATCCATCAGTTCATTCATCCACCCATCCATCCATACACCAACCCTTTATCCATCCATCAATCATCCATCCATCTCCCCACTCATCCACCCATCCATCCATCCATCCAACCATTCACCCACCCACCTATCATCCATCCATCCATCCATTCATCCATCCACCCATCCACCAATCCATCCACGCACCTATCTATAAATCCATCATATCATCACTAGAGTTTTTGGTGGTGACTGTCTCCAGCGGTCATTAACGATAGTCAGGACACATCATGGGCTGATCACCAGTCCATGACAAGACCACAGAGTCATGATCGTTCACACACATTCACACCTAGACTTAGTTTAGAATAACCAGTTAAGTTAATGAGCATTTCTTTGGGCTATGGAAGGAAACTACTTGGAGAACATCTACACATGCACGGGGAAAACGTACAAACGTTACACTGTAAGGCCAACATTTGAGCCTTGAGAATCCTTCCATTTGGTTCAGTTCAGGACAAGAACCTGCATCTGTCTAAAAGTGGTCTATTAGTATACTTTTTATAAAGTTGGAGTGATTTAGCAGTGAACATAGTTTTTTTTTCCCCTCTTACCTTCTATCAGGGAGGAAGTAGATTTTGACATAAGGGTTCCTGGGCCGACCATCTTCCCTGGGTGGCAAGTCTTTAGCGCCCAAAATGGTGACTATTAGCTGGTGACCCACTTTGTCATACCATAGTTTGACCTGCAAAGGCAGAGCATGCACAAAATACTGGCAGGCAGCTCAGTGACATTTCAGGAAGAACAACAAAAATCAAGAGGAAGGACAATATATATTTTTTGCTTTTGGTTTGTCAATTGTTGTTTTGTTTTTTCTGATTTTCTTCTGCAGTGCTGATGAATTTTAGTAGAAATGAAAGCAGTTAGCCTGCATGGTGTTTCAGCTGAGGTGTAATCTAGTGAAATGTTTAAAACAACATCCTGAAACTAATGAAAGTTGTATTTTGTACCACTTACATTGCTTCAAATAATATTCTCTGAGACAGTCATTGGAGATTTATTTAGACAAATCAATCATGCTGTTACAAAATATGTCAATGCCACTTCAAGGTAAAAAGGAAGTATGGACTCCATTGAAAGACACTTAGAAGACAAGGACGTCCAACAGAACCCTGAGGGATACTAAATGAAATGAGAAGTAAAGCTTCTAAGTTCTTGTCCATACTTCGTTGGAATATGAATATGAAAAGGGCCTCCACAGTTTAGAACTACCAGCTGGACATGCAGTAATGCAGGAAACTCAAGACAAATAGATTTGACAGTGTCAGACAAGCGATTTTCTGCAAAACAAATTGTACCAAGTTATGTCTCTACATGTATTTGTATCTCATATGAATTTGCTAAACAAAAAAGATATTACAAGAATTGAATAATTTCAGTGAAATTGTAAAAATATTTATTAGAATTTTCACCTTTTAAAATGTGTGACAATACATGTGTATCTACAGTCAGGAGGAACTAACGTGGAGGTTGTTCTCCGGTGTGTCCAGTCCTTATATGATTAACCTAAATATGTTGGCCAACAAGACGTAATTTAAAGGATAGCTGATCCATTTTCAAGTTGAATTTTGTGAAATGGGTAAATAATAAATAAATTAAGAAATAGTATCAAACCTGTTGAAGGTAGTTCTTCAAACAATTTGAATTTGAAGAAACTTAAATTAAGTCAGACCGATTTGACTAACAACCAGTCTGAACACAGTCAAAACCAAAGTGGACTGCTAGAAGCTTAAAACTGTTCTGATTATTATTATTTTTAATATAAATGTTGATGTGAACAATATTTTATAAACCTTTACACTGCTGTCAATGTTCAGACTGACCATTTGCTCATCAGGTTTTATTTCCAGGAACAGTCTACAACGAGAAAGAAATTAACTATTTGTGACTTTTCACAGTACTCAACTTCAAAAAAGCCTGAACTGTTCCTTTAAGACATCCATAAAGATAAAGCCTTGTTATTTCTGTATCAACTCCAACTGCACATCATGTGACTGAATTTGAAAACTACTGTAGTAAATATACATGTTCTCCATCACACTGTGAGCTGTGCTTTTTGTTAAAACAACAAATCAAATCCAAGGTTTGACTCTAACAGAAAATAAATACGTTGCTTTAAGTGAAACATTGACTTAAGGTTTATCAAATCAATTATACAGCTATTCAGAGCTATTCCAAAGCTAGTCTACTAAAAGAACAAAATGTTTATGTATGCATCAGGAAGACCATGTTTCTATGAATGGGAAACTTTGAGGTTGGTATTTGGCAGGTACAATTTGCTTATTCATAAATTCTCAGCTAAAAAGGAAAATGCACTTTGGTTTTGGTTTCCCAAACAGGACGATAAACTTGGTGTCACTTTCCTGCAACATGAAACCACACAGCATTCAGTTGGTGTCTAATAATTGGACTTTTAGTCACACTTGGACAAATACTTCAGTGTCAGGTTTGAAGCATGGATACTTGGATACATGGTACACTGCAGCAGGAAAAAACCAAGTCATTTGTCCTTAAAGCAGACAAATAAATAAATAATTATATAATCGAGACCAACTTCTCTATTGCCTTAGAAAAAATCCAATCCATTCAATAAAAGCTAAACAACTAAAATTAGCACCAAAAAAAAGGCAACGAGAGTGTGTCTCAAAATCTGTAAATTAGTCGATCATGCATTAAAGTACAAGGATGACATGAATGGGTTTAAAATGAGTAAAATAAGAACTAGTCAAAGCTGTGATACTAAAGAAAATTAAACTGAAGAAAATGACAATGCACTCCACTGAGAGGGAAACTGGAAGCTACCGTTTCCCCAGGAATGCATTTCTCAAAGTATGGAGGAAAAAGCCAGTCCACAGTCAAAAAGGTAAAAACCAAACACAGTTGGTGCCCGTCAAACTGGGCCTATTACCTGAACCCTAGGGGCAAAAGGCGTTGTTCTTCTACTAAGGCTTTGGCTCTGGATAAGTAAAATATAAAAGCAAATAAATAAATAAAAACAGAAAAGAAAAAAGAAAATTCACAATACAGTCAAACACAATGACCAAATATTTTAGTTCAGATGGGATATCTGGGGTTGTAAGTACATTACTTTTCATTTGGTTATTCATTTGCAAGGGTTTCAGTATGTTTTAGTACAATTACCTTTTCCACACTTAGCTCAGCTAAACCCCCACTAGCACATTATTCTAAACCAGGGGTGTATCTACAGTGATGCTTTAATGTTTGTGAAGCCTTTATAATTTTCTATATTTCTGCATCCATCTAAAACATCATCAGATTTTCACACAAGTTATAAAAGTAGATCAAGAGAACCCAGTTAAACAAACGAGACAAACATATTATACTTGGTCATTTGTTTATTGAGGGAAAATGATCCAATATTACATATTTGTTATTGGATAAAGTATATGAAACTTTGTTTTCAGTATCTTGGAGTGATCTTTGTTGGTCCACCACTCCTGAGGAGGGTAACAATGGTCTTGAGTTTCTCCATTTGTTACACAATCAGTCTGACTGTGGATTGGTGGAGTCCAAACTCTTTGAGATGGTTTTGTAACCTTTTCCAGCCTGATGAGCATCAACAACTCTTTTTCTGAGCTCCTCAGAAATCTCCTTTGTTCCTGTCATGATACACTTAAACATGTAGTGAAGAGCAGACTTTGATAGATCCTGTTCTTTAAATCAAACAGGGTGTCCACTCACACCTGATCATCACCCATTGATTGAAAACACCTGACTCTAATTTCACCTTCGAATTAACTGATAATCCTGGAGGTTCACGTACTTTTACCACTCAGATATGTTATATTGGATCATTGTCGGCAGCACGGTGGCACAACTGGTAGAGCTGTTGCTTCTCAACGAGCAGGTCCTTGGTTCAAATCCCAGCCCGGGGGCCTTTCTGGGTGGAGTTTGCATGTTCTCTCTGTGCTGCGTGGGTTTTCTCCAGGTACTCCAGTTTCCTCCCACAGACCAAAAACATGCATGTTAGGCTGATTGGTAACTCTAAATTGTCCCTAGGTGTGAGTGAGAGAGTGAATGGTTGTTTGTCTCGTGTGTCTATGTGTCCCTGTGATGGACTGGAGACATGTCCAGGGTGTCCCCCACCCCTCACACAGTGATGGCTGGACATGGGCACTGGCGACCCAAAAAGGAAGAAGCGTGTAAAGATAAAGGATGGATGGATCATTTTCCTCAATAGATACTGTAAATGACCAAGTATAATAGTTTTCTCTCATTTGTTTAACTGGGTTCTCTTAATCTATTTTCAGAACTTGTATGAAAATCTGACAATGTTTTAGATGATATTTATGCAGAAATATAGAAAGTCATAAAGGGTCCACAAACTTTCAAGCACCACTGTAGCAGTCCTTTCTGAACCTCCTTTATCTCTGCTTAAGAGCTTACAACAAAGTAAACAGAGCTGGTTAAATGTACTGAACACTGGGCCAACTCATTAGACACTTGAGATTTTCTAAAGTCCTTTGAATTAACAAAACTGTTGTTTGGATGATTTAGCTTTGAATTTCAAAGTCGTCTCTTACAAACAGAACAAAGGACGTAAAGAGGGGGGAATGTTTTTAATCTTGTTTTTGTTGTAACTGACAGATTGTACAATCAATCTGTGATCAAATCAATAATATTAGGACACACTGTCTGTCAAACTAAAACATTTAGCTAAATATTAACATGGAAATTAAATAAATACATTGAAGATGTTTCCCTATTATTAAAACTACTAATGTGGGTTAATTTATCCTTTGCTTATTGCAGCTCTTAACCTATTTACCTACCCCAAGAGAGTTTTTATACTAGATGGACAACACGCAAAGTAACCTGATCTTCAGTCTCGTGTTGAGCTGGAGACAAGCCAGACACAGACTGAGATAAATGCAAAAGGTTGCAAACCCAACAATAATTCCAGCTCAGATCTCAGTCACAGGTTTATGGCATGAGTACTGGACTTCCTAACTCTTGCAGAAGTGGTCAGATGTTTCTACAGGCTTTAATTTGAGTGAAGAGTTGAGGCCACTTACTGAGAGCTGTCCTGACAGATACTGGGGGGCATCCCTAAGCATGCTGGGACTCATAGGGGACGTGACGGAGATCGATGGACGATCCATCTTCTGAGACTCAAAGGAGCTTGAACCTGATGGACCACAGTAAAACAGCAAATTATGAGGTGCATATGTTAGTTTGAGTTTGGACTTTCATTAGTACAAGAACATAAAACTGGAAAGATGATCCAAACACAGATATAGTTACACAATCAGGTCAAGAATATTTTTCATTAAAATCATAATTAAGAAAAGAGACAGAAGAAATTTGCAGTGTATGTTAAGATAATAAACCCTGATGCTAATCACAATACTCACTTGATTCCAGTTGTCCATGTGTGCTGTCAGGTATTCTTGGGATATCTCTGAAACAAGAAAATGAGAAACATAAAAAAAATAAAAAATAAAATAAAACAGTGTGATGAAGAGGACAAAAAAGATGAAGTGGAGCAATTTAACCCTTGTGTTGACTTTGGGGAAAATAAGCCACACATTTATTTTTGTCTGTGACTGTATTTATTTACTTTTGGTGCAGAGAATAAAAAAAGATTTCATTTTCAAATAAAGCCTAAAAATCTTTCTACTTTTTAAAATATTTGTCAGAATTTTTTCCGAATCTTCCAAATGATCAAATCTTCATGTCCAACCACCCAGAGGCAAGTAAATTGACCTAAAACAAGGCCTTATTGTCGGCTACTGGATCTGAAGGGTCCGGTGGGCTGGAAAGTCTTTACAAAACTCAGAACTGGAATTTTTTTTAACTTTTTACTTTAATTTGAATTTGATATTTTTATTTTGGGCTGAGATAATGCTAAAATATTGATGTTTATTCTGAAAAATATGTATAGTTAAATGTCTATGCATGTATAAAGTAGTCCCTGCTTTGGGGTTCGTTTTTGCGAACTCGCTCTATCACGGTTTTTCAGAGTAAGATTGGGCATGACACACACTTGGCTGATTGATGGTTGAGATCGGCATGGAATTTTTATTTAAAATAAATTATTTTAAATTACTTAGCACCTGCTGCATTTGTGTGCAGCCCACAACTGCAGAAAATGCTTCCTTCTGCACTTCTGTGCAGCACACAGCTGAAGGAGAAGCTTGTGGAGAAGTGGGCGTGGCCGAGAGTGCAGACAGGTGGCAGAAAGCAGCCGGAGGCAGAGAAACAAGTTCATGACATTCTGTGCTCTTTTTGAGTGGTTAGAATTTAGATACATTGTTTAGAATATTGCAAGAGTGTGGGAAGGGTTTGAAATACCTTGATATATATATATATATATATATTTAATTTTAATATATATATTTATATATACCAAAATAAACTACTACTTGTACTACTATTCCTACTTCGCGGTTTTTCACTTATCGAGGGGCTTCATGGTATGGATCCCCTGCAATATATGAGGGACTATATTTAATCTTGTAGTACTGTAGTAGTCCCTAGTACCTTGTGCATATGCATATTTGTCTTTTCAAATTTGTTTATTCTGCTTTGTTTCATTATTTCATATGTATGTTTTTTATAATTTGCAAATGCTACTGGATGCCTTGAATTTCCCCCCAGTCAGTCAGTCAGTCAGTCAGTCAGTCAGTCAGTCAGTCAGTCAATCAGTCGGTGAATAAGTAAGTTAGTCAGTCAGTCGGTGAATAAGTAAGTTAGTCAGTCAGTCGGTGAATAAGTAAGTTAGTCAGTCAGTCAGTCGGTGAATAAGTAAGTTAGTCAGTCAGTCGGTGAATAAGTAAGTTAGTCAGTCAGTCAGTCGGTGAATAAGTAAGTTAGTCAGTCAGTTGGTGAATAAGTAAGTTAGTCAGTCAATCAGTCGGTGAATAAGTAAGTTAGTTTGTCAGTCAGTCAGTCGGTGAATAAGTAAGTTAGTCGGTCAGTCGGTGAATAAGTAAGTTAGTCAGTCAATCAGTCGGTGAATAAGTAAGTTAGTCATTCAGTTGGTGAATAAGTAAGTTAGTCAGTCAATCAGTCGGTGAATAAGTAAGTTAGTCATTCAGTTGGTGAATAAGTAAGTTAGTCAGTCAATCAGTCGGTGAATAAGTAAGTTAGTCAGTCAATCAGTCAGTGAATAAGCAAGTTAGTCAGTCAGTCGGTGAATAAGTAAGTTAGTCAGTCAGTCAGTCTGTGAATAAGTAAGTTAGTTAGTCAATAAGTAAGTTAGTCAGTAAGTAAGTTAGTCAGTAAGTAAGTTAGTCAGTAAGTAAGTTAGTTAGTCAGTAAGTAAGTTAGTCAGTAAGTAAGTAAGTTAGTCAGTAAGTAAGTTAGTTAGTCAGTAAGTAAGTAAGTACAACAATGTTCAGTCAGGTCATCTGGGTGGTTTCTTTTTTTGCTGAGACGTTTCGTCCTTCATCCAAAGGACTTCTTCAATCTGAGAAGCCACTAAGCAAAACTGATTCCAACAAACAACATACTCCATAGTGGTAAAAAAACAGTTTCCTGGTGCTAAGATGGCCTCTGGGGCCCACCCTCTTCCCTGTCAACTCCTTTGAGACAGTCATGCAAAAGTGGTTCAAAACACCAAAGTTCATACTCAATAATCCAGGTAAAAATCCAACAATGTTCAATCAGGTCATCTGGACTATTTCTATTTTTGCTGAAACATTTCATCCATCATCCAAAGGACTTCTTCAATCTGAGGAGCCACCAAGCAAAACTGATTCCCACAAACAGCATACGTCATAGTGGGGAAAAAAAACTGTTTCCTGGTACTAAGATGTCCTCCAGGCCCGCCCTCTCCCCCGTCAACTCCTCTAAATTCTGCTAAGAGGCCATCTTAGCACCAGCAAACTGTTTTTTTTCCACTATGGAGTATGCTTGTGGGAATCAGTTTTGCTTGGTGGCTCCTCGGATTGAAGAAGTCCTTTGGATGAAGGCCGTAACGTCTCAGCAAAAAAAAAAAAGAAACCATCCAAATGACCTAACTGAACATTGTTGGATTTTTAACTGGATTATTGAGCATGAACTTTACTAAGTAAGTAAGTATGTAAGTAAGTAAGTCGGTATGTAAGTATGTAAATCAGTTAGTCATTAAGTCAGTATGTAAGTAAGTAAGTCAGTATGTAAGTATGTAAATCAGTCAGACATTAAGTCGGTATGTAAGTAAGTCGATATGTAAGTAAGTAAGTCGGTAAGTAATTAAGTAAGTCAGTATGTAAGTATGTAAATCAGTTAGTCAGTCATTAAGTCAGTATGTAAGTAAGTCAGTATGTAAGTATGTAAATCAGTTAGCAAGTAAGTTAGCATGTACGTAAGTCAGTATGTAAGTAAGTAAGTAAGTAAGTCAGTAAATAAGTAAATCAGTATGTAAGTAAGTCAGTATGTAAGTAAGTTAGTAAGT